TATTATATATATATTTGCACTGTATACTTATGATATGATAACGGAGTTGCAGATAATTAAGATTTTCTTAACAGACTCAAATAATGAAATTGGTTTAGAGTCTACAAATACATGGAGAAGAAAGCGATGGGGGAAAGAAAATAATAAAGACTTTTAAGTTTATATGCATTTCACAGCCGAATAACATTCCATATTGATTGATATGAGGAGAGTAGGGTCTAATATATAAATAAGTATATGCTTATGTATGGACTGGCAATTTAGTCCGATATATAATATAAAATTTCTATTGGGCTTTAAGTGTGTTCTTCAGTCTGCGATCCATTTAATGCAAATAATACTTTCTGATAAGATGATAAGTATTGATAAGTAAAACGCCAGGTGGACTGATGTGAATATTTAAGTCTGAGCTCACTCAGATACCGCGACATAATTGCCAATTGGGCTCTTTGTTAAAATAAAAATATAAATTGGCCTTATCTTCATATCATGATATAATATTATATTACACTGTTCGACAAAATCTAATTTTATTATGATAGATATTATTATTTTTAGCGCATTTAACTCTAAACCTTCTTAAGTTCCGGAATGGATGTGTATTCCAGTTTATACTCTAAACTTATTTATTGCTTAATGTACTTTATGCGAACTATATTTGAATCAGCATGCTTATATTGTATACGAGCTGATTTTGATGTTAGTCCTTCTGCGTATTTAAGGCTGGGTCGTCCTATGACTTCTGCGATCGGTCTATCTTTATCACTAAGTTTTTGACACGCAGGATATGTCTAGTCCATCTTCATAGCACTTAATGTCAGAACGGTGTCATTTGACTCTGTTGACCGAGTCTTTGTTGCTCAGTGTTATTGGGTATAATTTGTCATGGTCACATCATTAAAGACGCGCAATTAAAACACTATATAATAAAAACATTAAATATGGACACAGATAAAAGCAAAATAATCTCTATTGATGAATATTGTTAAATACAAATGGGTATATTAACACGTTGAGGAACTTTCTTTCATATAAATTTGAATTAATTGTAATAATATGCAATATAGACACACGCACATACAAAAAAAAAAAAAAAAAAACAATTCAAACAACCAGTCTATTGCTAGTCTACATTATATGATTTGATTGTCACTCCTTCCCGCAATCTTGGATAGACAAACGTGAATCAACGTTCCCGAAACGTGAAGCAATCAATGAATTGGGTCTATAAAGTATATCTTCTTAAATTGCCATTTTAAAATTGTGAATTTGATTACTTTTTTGACAACTATAAAAGAGGCCACCAATTGCCTAAGATCCATAGTGCTCATTGGGAAGTTCTTGGGATCACATCAGCAGGTAGGAACATCATCTAGGAGCAGTATGAGTGACAAGGACAAGTTGGTAAGAGACTTTTAAAATACTAAAATTTTCAATTTCTTAATGTTCAACTATTAATATTATATAGATATTGGCAGAGTCTGCCGAAGCTCTCAAAAATGTGGACAAAAGGGAGTCGAGCTCAAAAGCCCCTTGGTATTTTGCGAATGGCTTCCTTTTGTTCTGGGGACTTCTCTTTTTTGCTGTGGTGCTGCCTTTCTTCAATAAGCTGCCCACCCCGTTGACTATGGAGGACGCAAAGAGAAATGTATTCATAGCTGAGCGGGCCTACAACAATTTGTACAATCTGTCCAATATCGGTAACAAATTGACTGGCAGCAAGGAAAATGAGGTGGATGCAGTCAATTTCCTTCTAAGCGAGCTTGCACAGATCAAGGCTAATCTCCAAGAAGATATTTTCGAAATGGAGATTGATGTGTCAAAAGCAACGGGGTCGTACCCGTACAAAACTGTGCTGAACATGTACCGAAACGTTCAGAGCGTTGTTGTGAAATTGTCGCCGAAAGCAAGCAACAGTGAGAACTATCTTCTGGTGAACAGCCACTACGACTCCAAGCCATACACTGCATCTGCCGGAGATGCGGGCTTTATGATTGTCACGATGTTGGAGGTTCTGCGTGTGATTGCATCCACTAAACAAACCCTAGAGCATCCCATAGTCTTTCTATTCAACGGAGCTGAGGAAAATATGATGCAAGCAAGTCATGGTTTCGTTACACAACACAAATGGGCATCAAAGTGCAAGTGAGTAATTTAGGTTACTGTTCAATCAATAGGAATGTAGTATATAACATATAACCACTGCTTAATAGAGTTGTCGTCAATCTTGATGCTGCTGGTAGTGGAGGTCGTGAAGTCCTATTCCAGTCTGGCCCCAGCCACCCCTGGCTCGTCAATGTAAGTTTTTTCTGTTTTTCCACAAATACAATTACAACTGGAAGCTAATTTATACACTTCAACAGTATTACAAGAAATACGTCAAACATCCATTTGCAACCACCATGGCTGAGGAAATCTTCCAATTGGGAATTATTCCATCTGATACAGATTTCCGCCAGTTCAATATGTACGGAAATATTCCCGGTAAGAATATTTGGCCAACACTTTTGACTTGACAATAATTTTTGCAAATATTCTATAGGCTTGGATATGGCCCAAATTACTAATGGCTATGTCTACCATACCAAGTACGATCTTAGCTCCATAATTCCTCGTGGGTCTTTGCAGAACACTGGCGATAATTTACTTGAGCTCGTTCGTGGCTTGGCTAATGCAACCGAGTTGAATGATATAGAGGTAAGCGTTTGAGCTAAACACTGTTTGATGTGAATTATGCTGAAACTCTTAAGTTTTTATTGTTAGGCTTATAAAACAGGTCATGCCGTGTTCTTTGATTTCCTGGGCCTTTACTTCGTCAATTATTCGGAAGCCACTGGAAAATCGATCAACTTTGGTGTTGCCGGAGCGGTCCTGATTTTTATTTTCATTTCAATGTGGCGCATGTCCGCCGTGTCCAATGCTTCCTTATGCAATGTGGCCAGCTGGTTCATTTTGGTCATCATCGTCCAGATAATTTCTTTTGTACTTGGCCTGGTGCTGCCTATTGTAGTAGCATATGGAATGGATGCTTTCGGTCTATCGCTGACATACTATAGCACACCCTTGCTGGTGGTCGGTCTCTACGTGTGCCCCTCACTGATTGGCCTCAGTTTGCCCATCACCTTGTACTACTCAGTGCAACGCAACGTAAGTTCATTGATTCTACATGCTGTTGAACTTGAGCATTTGCCAATCTATGTTCCATCCCCAGGAGAAAATATCGAACGCCTACCATCTGCAATTGGCATTGCACAGCCAGGCCGTCATCCTAGCTCTTTTAGTCCTAGCTGCCACTGCGTATGGCTTGCGCACCAGCTACATCTTCGTAATCCCACTGGCCAGCTATATGATATCCCTGGCCTTTAACTTGCTGACTACTCTGCATGATCGTAGCTATGCCTGGACGGGTGTCCTCAAATTGAGCCAGGTGATTCCTTTCCTATACAGCAGCTACGTGATCTATACCTTCGTGGTGGTGCTGACTCCAATGGGTGCACGTGCAGGCAGTGCCTCGAATCGGGACTTGTACATTGCTGTGCTCGCAGCCGTAGGAGCTGTTCTCTCGTTTGGTTTCTTGGTAAGTTGAAAAATATATATATGCTTTCCCTCAGAGGTGGTAACGTATTTTCTTCAATCAGATTCCGCTCATCAACGCTTTCCGCAAACCCAGCTTGGTGGTTCTGTCCCTGTTTCTGGTGACTGCTATTTCTCTGTATCTTGCCAGTAGCACTCAAATCGGATTCCCCTATCGACCCAAGACCAGTGGACAACGAGTTGCATATTTGGTGAGAATCTTATATTATTATATATAATACATGTATCTTGTGTATAATTCTTGATATTATTTGCCACATTTCAGCAAGTGCGCAGCAAGTACTACGAGTATGATGGCACACTCAGCAAGGACTTCTCCGGATACCTGTTCAACTTCCAGGATAGGCGAGAGGACACGCCCCTAAAGGGCACAAAGGTCAATCTGACGGGATTGGCTAGCATTAAATCGGAGTGCGAGGAGCACATGATGTGCGGCCTGCCCTTGTTTGATTACCGCTATGTTCAGAATAGACTTCAGAGCAAATTTCTTAAGCGAGATGAGCCTGTTCAAATACCAGAGCCACCCACAACATTGACCAAAATGGCCAAGACAAATATTAACGCAACAACCGTTCGCTTGGAATTCAACGTAACTGGACCCACCTACTTGAGCTTGTTCATAAAGCCCTATGAAGATGTGACTATCAGTGGATGGTCGTTCCTATCTAGCCATCTGGCCAAGCCACCAACAGCTCCGCTACCGTATCATATCTATATAACACACGGTATTGACATAACCCCATTGAACTTCTATGTGGACCTTACGGTAAGAGCCTCTTCGAGCAGTCTCACATTTCCATTGACACTAAACACTCTTCACTCTTTCATCTGCTCACCTGTAGAAAGCTGACGGCGACTTTGATGTGCCAGTGCTACAACTTGGAGTGTCCGGACATTACATTCAAAGTCCTGGAGACGAGGAGGCAGTAAAGTTTGCTTCGTCATTCCCCTCCTTCTCCATATTGGCACAGTGGCCTGCGATATATCAACGCTATATATTTTAAATAGAGCATTTATAAAGCCGATTCATTCAAAATAATTATAACCAATAAAAGAATGTAGGCAAATATGAGCAGCAGTTGTTTGAATTGCTTATTGGAATGGTACACCGACCACATTAGATTTTTGTTTTCGGGCTAATGGCTAAATATCATCAATAATTTACATTATGCTTTCCGCAGCTAGCCAAACAGTTTACCTTTTAAGCAAATTCCATTAGGAATAAGCAAGTCAATTAAATATAAACGGTTCCAACATGCAAGACCACAAATAGAGAAGAGTAAATAGAATAAACATTGGAGCTACTAGAACAAGCAAAGAGCTTTGACTAATCAGTTCTCGTTTGTGCCCTTACGCAACGCGCCGAATCACGTTCCCCGAGTACTTGGATGAGCGCACAAGCATTTAAATTATAGAGAGCATCCGCACTAAGCATTTCAGATAAGATGTGTCTCAGAGCTGCCGCGTCTATTCCGCGCAAGCTGAGAGATCAGTTGAGTTGGATGCGTCTTGATGAGATGTTACGCGCTATTCGAAATCGCATTGACTCTTGTCAGAGCAAGGTACGGCTAAAGGATGATTCAATTAACAATACCCATCATAATGAGTGATTAATTGTTGGTTACCTATCGACTGGAGTGATAAGAAATTCTAATGAAGCCAAAGAAATTATCATTGCGCTAATTGGCTTTATCAGCAATTAAATATGAGGCGATGCTTCATTTCTGTTTTTAATCAGTGTTAATTTATTGCTCCGCTATAAAAGTACATTTATTTTATATGTACCTATAGAAGCAATCTGTTATACAAACTTACATACATTTTGGCACACGCATGCTGGAATGTTTATTTACGTTCGCAAAGCTATTCGGCACACACTTTATAAATAAGCAAATCTATTCTTTTTGTTTTGTGTATGCCGAGGAACGCCCTTGAACCACTGGAATCTTTGCTGGAATAATTTATGCACTAATGTGTAAATACTTAAAGAAACAATTAATTGCTGGAGAAACATAGAAACTACAGAATTTGTTAGCATGCATACTTAATTATTAACTATATTCTAGGTGATGTCATCAGCCGTGATGTTATCATTTGTACTCCATCCCATGATGTTAAACTAATAGGTTTTTAAAAACTCTTCTATTATACATCCTATTAGATTCGTGATGAGCCCGATGATGTTTCCGGTAATGCAAATGAAAATGATGAGAATCCCAAAATACCTTGGTACTTTGCTAATGGGTTTCTGCTCTTCTGGGGACTGCTCTTTTTCGCCGCGGTATTACCATTCTTCAACCGGTTGCCTACGGCTCTAACAAATGAAGATGTTAACAAGAACGAATTCATTGCCGAACTTGCGTACGAGAATCTCTACACTCTCTCTAACATTGGCACCAAATTGACTGGCAGCAAAGAAAACGAGATCATCGCAGTCAATTTTATTCTTAATGAATTGAACAAAATTGAAGAAAATCTGCATGATGACTTTTTCGATATGGAAATTGATTTATCGCAAGCGGCCGGTGTTTTCCCATATGCTACAATGCTAAACGTCTACCAAGGCGTTCAAAACATTGCTGTTAAATTATCTCCGAAGAATAGCACAAGTCAAACCTATCTCCTGGTCAACAGCCACTTCGACTCGAAGCCCTTTACACCGTCTGCCGGCGATGCAGGATTCATGATAGTGACGATGCTGGAGGTCTTACGTGTCATCGCCTCAACAAAGCAGCCAATTGAGCATCCGATTGTCTTTCTCTTTAATGGAGCTGAAGAAGGCATGATGCAAGCATCTCATGGCTTTGCCACTCAACATAAATGGGCTCCATATTGCAAGTAAGTTTTTCCCCAAACATTATCTAAAGCTCATAGCTTATTTAACACAATTTTGATCGCAGAGCCGTTATTAATCTTGATGCTGCTGGTAGTGGAGGTCGCGAAATTCTATTCCAAAGTGGTCCCAACAATCCCTGGCTTGTAGATGTAAGATATTTCAAAAGTACCTACCGAACCAGTGTCAAAAATGATTCTAATTATGAAAATTAATTCAAGTATTACAAAAAGTACGCCAAACATCCGTTCGCAACGACAATGGCTGAGGAAATTTTCCAAGCTGGAATTATTCCATCGGATACAGATTTTCGGCATTTCAATTTGTATGGTAAAATTCCAGGTGAGCTTTGTTATACATTTTTCTTTCTTCGAAGAAAGCTATTGATTTATTTGATACAGGGCTGGACTTGGCTCAATGTTTTAATGGATATGTCTACCATACCAAATATGATCTTATCGATGTAATTCCTCGGGAGTCTCTGCAGAATACCGGCGATAATGTGCTTAGTCTGGTTCGGGGATTGGCCAATGCAACTGAGTTAAGTGACAAATCGGTAATAATAATGATGATAGCAATAGTTCTTCCTTTTTAATTAAGCCATGTTCATCTCTTAGGCACCCGTGATGGGTCACGCAGTCTTCTTCGATTTCCTTGGCCTTTACTTCATCCATTATTCCGAGACCACAGGCATTGTTTTGAACTTGGCCATTGCCATAGCTACCCTTATTTTGATTTCTGTTTCGATATGGCGCATGGCAAAGGTCTCCAACGCATCCGTTTCTCACGTGGCGTGCTGGTTTTCAGTGACCGTGATCGTTCAGGTTATTTCCTTTATTCTCGGACTGCTCTTTCCTGCAGTAGTGGCATGGTTTATGGATAGTTTGGGGCAATCGCTGACTTACTTTAGCTCTCCGATGCTGATTATTGGCCTGTTCGTGTGTCCCTCCCTGATCGGCCTAAGTTTGCCTTTGGTCGTCTACTCTAGTATACATCGCAATGTAAGTAGGGGCTCAAGTGTCTAGTTTATCATTAATTTACAATAACTTCTATGTTCTAGAAAAAGATCTCCACCGCTTATCATATTCAACTGGGATTGCACAGCCACGCCGCCATTCTGTCTCTTCTCGTCATTTTTCTGACAGCCCTCGGCATACGGTCAACATATGTTCTTGTAATTCCCCTGATTTTCTACTCACTGGCCCTGGCCATCAACTTGTTGACCACGCTACACGATCGTGGCTTTGCCTGGATGGCTCTGCTCAAGGCAGGACAGCTAATTCCTTTTCTATGCAGCAGCTACAGCTTTTACATATTTATTGTTGTACTGACGCCAATGGGAGGACGTGCAGGTAGTGCCGCTAATCGTGACGTATTAATTGCGGTGCTGACAGCAACTGGAACGATTTTATCGTTTGGGTTCTTGGTAAATGCGGTCTTTCATTTATTATTATTGGGGCAATGCAGTTAAATATATTTTATTTTTAGCTTCCGCTCATCAATATTTTCCGACGCCCCAGTTTTGTAATATATTCCTTGCTGGCAGTCACAGTTCTGGCTATGATCTTAGGCTGCTTCACGCCAATCGGATTCCCTTATCGAGCAAAGACCAATGGACATCGGGTTGCTTATCTGGTGAGAATTCTATATCGTTTATTTAGTGTTTATTATTTTCAATCTAATCAATTCCCCTTTCGATTTCAGCAAGTGCGTAACATATTCTACGAGTACGATGGCACACTCAGCAAGGACGAGTCCGGCTACTTGTTTAGTTTTCAGGATCGCCGCGAAGAGAGGCCACTCCTGGGCACCAAGGTCAATCTGACTGGGTTGGTTAGCATTAAGTCCAAATGCGAGACAGAAATGATGTGCGGCATGCCTCTGTACGACTATCGATTCACTAAAAGTAGACTGCAAAGCAAGTGGTTACCACGATCTGAGCCAATTGTACCACCGGAAATAAGAGGTCTGGAATTGCTCAATAAAACCATACTAAATGCTACCAATGTTCGCTTTGAATTCAACCTAACTGGACCCTCGCACATGAGTTTGTTTATCCAGCCCTACGATAATGTGAAGATAAGCAACTGGTCGTTCATTCCCAGCTATCTTAATATGCCCCCGCCATTCCACATCTATCTAACATATGGCATTGACAATTCTCCGTATAATTTCTTTGTGGAAGCATCGGTAATAAATACTATGAAGATTTTCACATTTCAATATAACAGACATGTATACATTATTCATATTTGCAGAGCTTACACGGCGACTTGGGATTTCCTCTATTTCAAATGGGAGTATCTGCGCATTTCATTGGAAACGAAGGAGATGCCCAAAGTGTGAAATTCGCATCTTCATTTCCGTCCTACTCAATTTTGGCCCAGTGGCCTGCATTATATAAGCGTTATGTGTTCTAAGTTAAAATACTCGTATGTGTTGTAAATTCTCACATAAAAAAATCAATACAATGAGAATTGTATTTAAAAAAAAAATGATAATAATAATTATATGTTAAATTAATAAAACTGCATCTGATGAACAACTTTTGTTTCACAATTCTTTCCCATGCAAGGCGCTTACAAGCTAAGCTGATTGCTACATACTCTTGAAACAAACTATTATACCCTTTTAAATTTTTTTTCCTTCGGGTAGAACACCGTTTTTATTTCTTTTTATTACCAACAAATCGCCATCATAAAAACTGTTATTAAAATTTATCATTTCACTTTTAAGATAACACAATATCGTAACTAATAACGGTGCGTACTGAAACTGTGAAAGTCAGTTCTCTTTTGTAAAGCGAACCGTGAAGATATAAACATAATGGGGAACACGGAAAAGCTGGTAAGACCCAAAAAAAAAAAACAGTTTGTTTTTAAATTTCAACAGAACTCTAATAATTTTCTATACATTATGAACAAAGCTTCTTATCGAATCCGATGACAGTGGCAGCACAGTGTTGGCCAACAGGAAATCTACTTCCAAGGTACCTTGGTACTTTGCAACTGGATTCTTACTGTTCTGGGGACTTCTCTTTTTTGCCATCGTAATTCCATTTTTCAATCGCTTACCCACGGCTCGCACACTGGATGACGCTGACAAAAATGTCTTCATTGCCGAACGAGCGTACAAAAATCTATACACCCTATCGAATATTGGCACCAAATTAACTGGCAGCAAGGAGAACGAGATCGAAGCAGTTCAATTTCTTCTCAGTGAACTTGCAGTCATCAAGGAAGCTTCGCTCAACGACTTTTTCGATATGGAAATAGATTTATCACAAGCCTCAGGATCCTTTCCATATAAAACTGCGCTGAACGTCTACCAAGGTGTTCAAAATATTGCTGTTAAACTGGCTCCAAAGAACTGCACGTCTGAGACGTACCTCCTCGTCAACAGCCACTTCGACTCGAAGCCTTTCACTCCGTCTGCCGGCGATGCAGGATTCATGATAGTCACGATGTTGGAGGTTTTACGTGTGATTTCAACGACAAGGGAAACCTTTCAGCATCCGATTGTCTTCTTATTTAATGGAGCAGAAGAAGACATGATGCAAGCATCGCATGGATTTATTACTCAACATAAATGGGCTCCAAAGTGCAAGTAAACTACGTCTATTCTATTTATTCGTACAGTATACCTATATAATACTTATAATTGTAGGGCTGTTATTAATCTTGAAGGCGTGGGTGGGGGACGTCGAGAAATTCTATTTCAAAGTGGACCCAACCATTCATGGCTTTTAAATGTAAGTTTCAGAAAGGAATTTGTCATCAAATTATAGAAATAGTTCCCTATTATTTAACAGTACTACAAAAACTACATAAAATATCCTTTTGCTACGAGTTTTGCTGAGGAAGTATTCCAATCTGGCATTATACCATCAGATTCAGACTTCACTCAATTTAGAGAATATGGCCAAATTCCGGGTATGTACCTATTATTACGCAAATGTATTATGCATTTTATCATTATTCATAGGTTTGGATATGGCTCAAATGAGTAATGGATATGTCTATCATACAAAATATGACGTGATCGATGTGATACCTCGCGAAGCCCTACAGAACTCTGGAGACAATGTACTTGGCTTAGTAAAAGGCCTGGCCAATGCAACAGAATTACACGACACTAAGGTAGTTTTACTAAAAGCTTTCACACAAATCCGTAATTGAGTTAATATTCGAACGTTTCATTTAATAGGATCACACGGGTGAATCCGCTGTCTTCTTCGATTTCCTGGGTCTCTGTTTCATCCATTATTCAAAGACCACAGGAATATTCTTAAACACTGGTGTTACAGCAGCTGCTTTTATACTGATTTTCATTTCAATGTGGCGCATGTCAGCCGTTTCTAATGTTTCGTTCTGCCACGTGGCATGCTGGTTCACACTGGTCCTTATCATCCAGGTTATTTCCTTTGTACTCGGACTAGCCCTTCCGTTAATTGTATCATATGTAATGGATGATTTGGGATTATCGCTAGCATTCTACAGTACGCCGATACTAGAGATCGGCTTGTATGTATGCCCTTCACTCATTGGCCTGAGTTTACCCATCACAATCTATTATGCTCTACAAGGGAATGTAAGTTGTCAAATAAGTTCAGTGTTTGATTATTAAAGTAATTTTCCATTCACAGAAAAACATCTCTACCGGCTATCATGTCCAACTGGCTTTACATAGTCAGGCCGTCATCCTGGCTATTCTAGTCATTTGTCTCACGGCATTGGGAGTGCGTTCAGCATATATTCTCTTGATTCCGCTTATTTTCTATGTCTTATCCTTGGCCTTTAACTTGCTGACAACTCTACACGATCGTGGCTACGCCTGGGCGGGACTTCTTAAAGCCAGCCAGATAATTCCTTTTCTCCATAGCAGCTATATCGTTTATGTTCTGATTGTAATTCTTACTCCAGTGTGTGCTCGATCAGGAAGTGCTTCTAATAAAGACTTGCCCGTAGCTGTCTTGATAGCAGCAGGAACGGTTCTTGCCTTTGGTTTCTTGGTGAGTCATTTCATTTTTATAATAGTAAAGGCGCTATAATTACTATACTTACAGGTGCCGCTTATCAATACTTTCCGACGTCCAAGCTTCATGGTGTTCTCTTTGTTGGCGATCTCAGCTCTTTCCATATACTTAGCAAGTAGCACACAAATCGGGTTTCCATTTCGACCAAAGACAAGCGGACAGCGTGTGGCCTATCTGGTAAGTAGATTATATAATTCACAGCTATTCATTACTTTTTCTTAAATATGTTTAATATATTTACTTTATATTTTATATTCAGCAAGTACGCAATAAGTTCTATGAATACGACGGAACTCTCAGCAAGGATGAGTCGGGATACTTGTTCAATTTCCAAGATCGTCGCAAAGAATCGACGTTCGTAGAAGCAAATGTCAATCTGACTGGGCTGTACAGCATTAAGTCGAAATGCGAGAAGCAAATGATGTGTGGCATGCCGTTGTATGACTATCGCTATGTTCTGAATCGACTTGAAAGCAAATTTCTGCCACGTACCAATCCCATCGAACCTCCAGCAGAAACAAAATTGGAATTTTTAAGCAAAACTWTACTCAATCCTACAACTGCTAGATATGAATTCAACTTGACAGGACCTTCCCACATGAGTTTGTTTATCCAAGCCTATGAAGACGTTGAGATAAGCAACTGGTCATTCTCGCGTAGTTATCTGGATAATCCTCCACCGTATCCATTGTCATATCACATATATTTCATTTACGGCATTGACAACTCTCCGCTTAACTTCTTTTTGGAATTCACTGTAAGCTCGCTCTGTAGAAAGCTTTTCCAGTTTAAGTTTGACTTGATTGATTTTTGCATTTATAGAAGGAGGATGGCGATTTCGAAGTACCGGTATTCCAGCTGGGAGTTTCTGGGCATTATATTGAACTAGAGGGGGACGCAGAAAGCCAGGAATTCGCATCTACGTTTCCATCCTACGGAATTCTTGCAACATGGCCTGTACTCTACCAACGATTTATTTTTTAATAATATTTTATAAATAAACATATTTTGTAATATTTGGTATAACAACTATACAAAGTAAATAAGATTTTAAATCATTTATCTATGCGTATACTTTTTTCGGACTCTGATCAACCAGCGTACAATTCGCAACATAAATATATACATACTATGCTTAATGGTCATTGCATAGTAACAATAATTAGCACACCTATTCGTTATAACAGAGCCCACTTAAATCATTCGATATTTGCTGATATCGAAAGATCGTTAAATAATAAATATAAATTCGAGTGCTCATAGTAATCATTTTATAATCAAATACACATAAACATTCAATTTTGCGAAAAAAAAAAGAACAACAATTAATATCCATGAACCTTAACATACGAGAATTTTGTATTTTTGATAAAACTTATTAGAACACCGCAACTCAAATTTAATCATCGACAAATAAAAATATTGTATCCAATAAATTTTAAAGTAATAGAACTGATAAATTGTATTAAATAAAAGAAACAAAATATTTTATTGTTTTTAATGAACTCATTAAAATTTACTAAATTTCGTATACGAATTCTTTATGTTTTCTACACCGACTTAAGTTACATACGTGACAGTTGTGGCTAAAAGGCAGGGTATTCTTCGGCTTATGTTCTATATTAATAGCCTCATGAGTTTTTATGATTTCATAATTCCGATAAGATTTCTATGCACTATAAAAGACGTTCAGATTTCGTATAAACTACTTAGTTCCTCTTTAGAATACTTTGTGCTCGGACTTACAATCAAAATGAAGTCCAATTTTAAGATGCCTTGGCATTTAGCATGTGGATTTCTATTGTTCTGGATTATGCTGTTCTTCGCTGTTGTAATTCCTCTGTTCTATCGCTTACCCACGGCTCTAACAATGGAGGATGCTAAGAAAAATGAGTTCATTGCTGAACGTGCTTACAAGAACCTCTACACTCTGTCAAATATTGGCAACAAAATAGTTGGAAGTAAAGAAAATGAAATAGAGGCTGTCGAGTTCCTGCTGAAGGAGCTCCACCAAGTGAAAGAGGAATCACTGAAAGAAATATTCGACATAGAAATAGACCTATCACAAGGCTCAGGCGTATTTGAGAGGAATAGTGCGATAAGTGCATATCAAGGACTTCAAAATATTGCAGTTAAACTTACCCCCAAGGGCAGCACGAGTAAATCCTATCTTCTAGTTAATAGTCACTTCGATACTCTGCCAGGTGCTGGTGCCGGCGATGCTGGTTTTATGATCGTCACGATGTTGGAAGTTTTCCGTGTTATGGCAAACACAAATCAATCCTTTGAGCATCCTATCGTCTTTTTGTTCAACGGAGCTGAGGAAACCGGTCTGCAAGCCTCACATGCATTCATAACCCAACACAAATGGGCACCATTCTGCAAGTAAGCTTCAGACCGAAGCAATCGAATAAACTGTTTTCAGCCAAATCTCTATACTCCCAGAGCTGTCGTTAATCTTGATGCTGCTGGCAGTGGAGGTCGAGAGATTCTCTTCCAGAGTGGGCCCAATCAACCATGGCTAATGGCTGTGAGATATATCGGATGCAGCTGCAGTCACAAATCTTTTAGTGTTCTCATATTTTTTACAGTACTACAAAAAGCATATAAAGCACCCACTTGCTACGACTTTGGCCGAGGAAATCTTTCAATTGGGACTTATTCCATCCGATACTGACTTTCGACAGTTCACAACGTTTGGCAACATTCCAGGTGAGTGCAGTTAAAGGACAACTTACCAACTATAAAGCATGTGGTCATATACAGGCTTGGACATGGCGCAGTGCATTAATGGATTTGTCTACCACACAAAATACGATCTTATCGATGTGATTCCTCGCGAATCCCTTCAAAATACTGGCGACAACCTTCTCAGTTTGATCAGAGGTTTGGCCAATGCAGCCGAATTACACAATACCGAAGTAAGTTTTTGACCCCGCACAGCTTCCAGCAACGTCGAATTAATACAAACTATATTCATCTCAGGCATACAACACTGGTCACACTGTGTTCTTCGACTTTCTTGGCCTATACTTTATCCACTATACGGAGACCACAGGAGTATTCTTAAACATTGGAGTTGCGGCAGCTGCCTTCATTCTAATTTACATTTCAATGTGGCGCATGGCAGCCGTTTCTCAAGTTTCCTTCTACTATGTGGCATGCTGGTTTACATTGGTCCTAATCATCCAGGTTATTTCCTTTGCGCTCGGACTGGCTTTTCCCGTAATTGTGGCATATGTAATGGATAATTTAGGATTATCATTAGCATACTATAGTACACCGATGCTGGTGATCGGATTATATGTATGCCCCTCACTAATTGGCCTCAGTTTGCCCATCACAATCTTCTATGCTCTACAGGGRAACGTAAGATGTTAATCCATATTATTATTATTACATTCAACTCAATCTTCCTTTCACAGAAAAAGATTTCTACCGGCTATCAGGTGCAACTGGTCCTACATGGTCAGGCCCTCATCCTGACTGTTTTAGTCTTTGGTCTTACAGTATTTGGATTGCGCTCAACATATATTTTCATAATTCCTCTCGTGTTCTATGTGCTACCCTTGGCTGTTAACTTATTGACCACCTTGCATGATCGGGGCTATGCTTGGGTGGCTCTTCATAAACTGAGTCAAATAATTCCTTTCCTCTATAGCAGCTACCTCTTTTATATATTCATTGTGGTAATGACACCAATGGGAGGACGTGCAGGCAGTGGTTCCAATCGGGACTTGTATATTGCTGTCTTGGCATCAGCAGGAGCAATCCTTTCATTGGGTTTATTGGTAGATTAGGTTACTGTTATCATATCATTCCCAGACTTCTCTAACCGATCTTATCTACAGATCCCGCTTATCAACACCTTCCGTCGACCTAGTTACGTTGTAATCTCTCTTTTAGTAATCACAGCCCTCTCCATATACTTGGCCAGCAGCACAAGAATCGGATTCCCGTATCGGCCAAAGACCAACGTTCAGCGTTTGGAGTATCTTGTAAGTTCCTTTAGAGTAAAGTAACTCTGAGTAATTACGATAATGAGTGCCATTGCAGCAAGTTCGAAACATGTTCTACGAATACGACGGAACTCTGAGTAAAGACGAATCAGGATATCTTTTCAATTTCGAGGATCGACTAGTAGAAAAGCCACTCATAGGAACGAGTGTCAATCTGACGGGCTGGGTCAGCATTGAATCGAGGTGCAATGCCCACATGTTTTGCGGAATGCCTTTGTACGACTTACGCTTCGTGCGGAATCAAATGTACAACAAATGGCTGCCGCGATCTGAACCCATAATAATGCCAAATATAATGAAACTGGAAGTTCTCCGTAAAGTTGTGGTGAACTCAACAACGATCCGCATTGAGTTCATTCTGTCAGGGCCCCCCACGATGAGGCTTTTCATGCAGCCCTATGAAGATGTCACCATCAGCAATTGGTCATTTGTGCACAGTTTTCTTGAAAAGAGTCCTCCATACCTAATATTCCTTAACTACGGCATCGATAGCACGTCATACAGCTTTTACTTGGAATGCTCGGTGAGCTGACTCCTCAAAATTAATATATTTTAATATCTATCTAATCACATTTTAAAATCTATAGAAAGCCAATGGCGATTTCAACGTTCCATTGCTCCAGCTCGGAGTTTCGGGCCATTACACCGGAGATACGAGCGATAAACTGAATACGATGTTTGCATCGACATTCCCGTCCTTTACAGCAGTAGACACTTGGCCTGCGATATACAAACGATATATATTTTAACTTTAATTCACGATTTAGTTAATTTTGGTAATGTAATTAAAGCGTTTCATCGATAAAAATATTTATACAAATGAAAGAATGAAATCTATATATGTATGTCCATTTCAAAGTTTATTGATTTATTAACAAATTTTGCGATTTTATTATTTTTACTCGATCAGTTAATGATTATAGTGCCAGTCAAGATGGTGTTTTTTTTTTTTTTTTGATAATGAATTGGCATCATAAAAATGATTATTTAAATCGATTTTATACAATATACTTCAGATAACGCTGTTCAAATCCTATAAATACCGTCAGCTTTTAACTTGACTAATTCAGTTCTCATATGGAGGACCATCATTTCACATCAGCAGCGACTCACGCAGCAAACAATATGGGGGACAAGGAAAAACTGGTAACATCTGAAAACAGTTTCCTCGCTTAAAATATTACTTCATGTCTTCTTCATACTTAAGCTAATTTCCGAATCCGAAGGGACTGGCAGCAAAATATTAACCAAGAAGTCTACTTCCAAGGTACCTTGGTATCTTGCAACTGGATTCTTACTGTTCTGGGGACTTCTCTTTTTTGCCATCGTAATTCCATTTTTCAATCGCTTACCCACGGCTCGTACACTGGATGACGCTGACAAAAATGTCTTCATTGCCGAACGAGCGTACAAAAATCTATACACCCTATCGAATATTGGTTACAAACTGACTGGCAGCAAGGAAAACGAGATCGAAGCAGTGCAATTTCTTCTCAATGAACTCGAAGACATCAAGGAAACTTCGCTCAAAGACTTTTTCGATATGGAAATAGATTTATCACAAGCCTCAGGATCGTATCCATATAAAAATTTGTTGAATATGTATCAAGGTGTTCAAAATATTGCTGTTAAACTGGCTCCAAAGAACTGCACGTCTGAGACGTACCTCCTCGTCAACAGCCACTTCGACTCGAAGCCTTTCACTCCGTCTGCCGGCGATGCAGGATTCATGATAGTCACGATGTTGGAGGTTTTACGTGTGATTTCAACGACAAGGGAAACCTTTCAGCATCCGATTGTCTTCTTATTTAATGGAGCCGAAGAAGGCATGATGGAGGCATCGCACGGATTTATTACTCAACACAAATGGGCTCCAAAGTGCAAGTAAGCTAAGCTAATTATATTTTTCGAAAAAAAAATTTTTATTTTATAATCGTAGGGCTGTTATTAATCTTGAAGGCGTTGGTGGCGGAGGTCGAGAGGTTTTATTTCAAAGCGGGCCCAATCATTCATGGCTTTTAAATGTACGTTTATAGACACCAAATCTGATTATAATGCTAATTAAATTTGTTTAACATTTAACAGTATTACAAAAAATACGTAAAATATCCATTTGCTACCGTTGTCGCCGAAGAAGTCTTCCAATCAGGCGTTATACCATCGGATTCAGACTTCACTCAATTTAGAAAATATGGCAACGTGCCAGGTGATTACTATAATATCACTATTAAAATGTTAAAATAGATATATGCTTAATTAAATTCAATCTTTAATAATAGGTTTGGATATAATTCAACTTACAAATGGATATATCTATCACACAATATATGACGTGATCGACGAGATTCCTCGCGAAGCCTTACAGAACTCAGGAGACAACATACTTAGCTTAGTTCGAGGCTTCGCCAATGCAACAGAACTGCACGATACAAAGGTATTCTTCTACATTATTGTTAATATATTAATAATAAACTGATGATGCTTTACTTAATATTGTTTATAGGCGCACATGGATGGAAACTCTGTGTTCTTTGATTTCTTGGGTCTCTACTTCATCAGTTACTCAGAGAACACCGGAATATACTTAAACATTGGTGTTGCAGCAACTGCCTTCATTCTAATTTACATTTCAATTTGGCGCATGGCAGCCGTTTCTGATGTTTCGTTCTGCCACGTGGCATGCTGGTTCACATTGGTGCTTATCATTCAGGTTGTTTCCTTTGTACTTGGACTTGCCCTTCCAGTAATTGTCGCATATGTAATGGACATTTTTGGACTATCACTGACCCACTACAGCACCACTATGTTGTTGGTTGGGCTTTATGTATGTCCATCCCTAGTTGGCCTGAGTTTACCCACCACTATATATTATACCTTCCAACCTAATGTAAGCTAAGATAAAACTAGTATTGTTTACCTTAAAAAAAACTCAATCTTCCTTTCCATTCACAGAAAAAAATCCCTAATGGCTATCATCTGCAACTTGCGTTACATGGTCAGGCCATCATCCTGGGCCTTTTACTTGTTGGTCTCACTGCATTTGGATTGCGTTCAACATATATTATTTTAATTCCCCTAGTATTCTATGTGTTATCTTTGGCCTTTAACTTATTGACGGTTCTACACGATCGTGGCTATGCCTGGACGGGACTTCTTAAAGCCAGTCAGATAATTCCTTTCCTTCACACCACCTATATAGTTTATATTCTGCTTGTGGCTCTTATTCCGATTTGTGCTCGATCAGGGAGTGCTTCCAATAAGGACTTGTACATAGCTGTCATCACAGCACTAGGAACGGTTCTTTCGTTTGGTTTCTTGGTAAATATTCTTTTACACTGTTTTCACTCGATAATTTCTTACAAATATTCTAACAGGTTCCACTCATTAATATTGTCCGACGCCCAATCTTAGTGGTGTTCTCTCTGTTGGCGATCTCAGCTCTTTCCATATACTTAGCAAGTAGCACACAAATCGGGTTTCCATTTCGACCAAAGACAAGCGGACAGCGTGTGGCCTATCTGGTAAGTAGATTATATAATTCACAGCTATTCATTACTTTTTCTTAAATATTTTTAATATATTTACTTTATATTTTATATTCAGCAAGTACGCAA